TTTTTTTAATTCTTTGAGGCATATTGTCCAGGAACAAGAGTATTCTCTTATACAACCATGATACAATGATCAAATTCAAGAAATTTAATGTGGACTTCCTAAGTTCTGTGTTCTAGAATTGTCCATTTTCCCTTCCAGTCTCAAAACCCTGTCCAGGATTGTGGATTGGATTTTATTACGTTTTAGATCATTCCTTTAAAATAGTTCCTCAGGGGCTGGGGATGTGGCTTAGTGGTAGAGTTCTTGCCTTCCATTCATAAGGCCCTGGGTTTGATCCCCAGCAACACACATACGCACAATAGTTCCTCAGATGTTCTTTGTTATTTGAAATTGGCATGAAAAATACAGGCCAGTTAGTTGTGTTATAGGATGTTCATCAATCTGGTTTTTTTCCTGGTTGTTTCCTTATGACTAGAGTTGGGTTATGTATTCTGGGTTGCAGTTTGACATATGGCACAAGTCATATTGTTTGTTTTTTTTTTTGAGACAGGGTCTTATTGTGTAGTCCAGGCTGGCCATGAACTTGTATCAGTCCTTCTGCCTCAGCCTCTCAAGTGCGTGTGCTACCATGCCTGGCTCCTATTGTGTTTTATTTTCATGTGAAGCATATTAAAAAAAAAGCATATAATAAGACCAAGAAAGCACCTCACTCCTTATGAGTGATGTTAATGTTTTTTTTTTGAGACAGGGTCATGCTATGTAGTCTAGACTGACTTTGAACTCACTGTGGAGCCCAGGTTGCCCTCAAATTTGCAGTGATCGTCCCGCCTCAGCCTCCCAGGTGCTGGGATCACAGGGTTTTTTTCGGAGACAGGGTTTTGCTGAGATGCCCAAACTGATCTCTAATTCATAGGCTGTCTCAGCCTCCCAAGTGCTGGCACTGCAAGTATGTGCCATCATCAAGCTAGTAGCATTAATTTTGGTCAAGGTCAAAATCAGTCACCATGCTGGGGGTGGCAGCGCGTGCCTGTAATCCCAGCACTCGGAAGGCTGAGGCAGGAGGATCACTGGAGTTTGAGGCCAGTTTAGGCTACAAAGTGAGTTCAAGGCCAGCCTGAATTGCGTAGCAAAACCCTGTCTCGAAAAGAAGCCCCCCGCTAAAAAAACAAAAAAACAAAAAGGAAAGGAAAGAAAAATTGATCACCAGGTAGCCTGGCTTCTCCCAGGTATATAGTTTCTATTCCCCCCCCAACCCCTCCCGTAACACTCCGTGAGAAGATATTCTGAGATTATACGAACAATCCTGCTCCTTTTCATACTTATCGCAACAGTTTAGCATCTCCTCAGGATTCTTGTCTAAACCAGTTTCTATCATAATGGTTGAAAAATCGGTTTTTCTAACTCCAAAACTCCTTCCGCTTTCATCATTTGCTGTTAGACTATAAAAAAAAGAGAGCCTTCCTTTCTCCTTATTCATTGTCATCGACTGGCCATTGGTATGGGTCCTTGTTTTATGCAATAGTTATGATTTTCTGTCCTGACTGAGTTTTATATTCAAATTGTCCTAGTTTTTAAAGTGTTTACAGATTGTTTTTAATCTGCCTTTTTTATTTTAAAGAGAAAAAAATAAAAACAATGATACAGAATTTTCAAAACAACATAATAGGAAATTAACAATAGTTGTTCCATTGTATTTTATCTTCAAAGTAGTTGCTCAGATTAGTCTGGTTTTCTTGTCCTTTTGACATGATTTATTATTTTCTTAGTACTGCTTTGATTCCTGGAAAAACACAAACATTCCAGGCTTCTTGTGCTCTTTCTCTGCCCCAGTTATGGGGCCAACCATCTCCTAAAGGAGCCCTGATTAATTCTTTTTGGTACAGCGGAGTACTTAGAAACCACAGTGGAGGTGCCAGGTGTGTTCACTGTTACTGGTTATGTAGCACTTTGAAAATGTAAACTCAGGGGCTGGGGATTTAGCTCAGCGGCAAAAGCGCCTGCCTGGCAAGCGCTAGGTCGTGAGTTCGGTTCCCGGTACCGGAGAAAAACCAAAAAAAAAAAAAAAGAAAAGAAAATGTAAACTCAGCCAGGCGTGGTGGCACACGCCTGTAATCCCAGCACTCGGGAGGCTGAAGCAGGAGGATCATTGTGAGTTCGAGACCAGCCTGAACTGCATAGGGAGAACCTGTCTCAAAAAGACAAAAAAATAATAATAATAAACTAATACTCTTTTGGATCTCCCAATCTATTTTAACTGTGCTAAAAAGGACCAGGGCTTTATTTATTTATTATTCATTTATTTATTTTTTTGTCTTTTTGAGACAAGGTCTCACTATGCAGTTCAGGCTGGCCTTGAGCTCACTTTATAGCCCAGGCTGGTCTCAGACTCACAACCATCCTCCTGCCTTAGCTTCCCGAGTGCTGGGATTACAGGCATGCACCACCATGCCCAGCCTTTTTT